GAAAAGTCTAGGTCTGAAGTGACCTCTGGACATCATCTGGTCCAACCTCTGTTGAAAGCAAGGACTTAGATTAGGTTATCCAGGGTCCCGTTGAGTCAAGTCTTAGTATATCTAGCGAGGGTGATGTTTTCCCATACCAATTTTCAAAAAAGCTTGCATACTGTGCTCTTCCTTCTAGTCTGTCCCAGTAATAAAGAGCAGCATTTAGTTTCTGTTCCCCAGTCTCCTCACCCCTAGGATCTTTGGTCTCTTGGGAAAAAGGAATTGCAGACACCACAGTACACAGGGACAATACCTTTCTCTGTTAAACTTCAGCCTCTGGAAACAAAGAGCAGGGTGACAGAAAATCCCTTAGAAAACACAACAAGGGAAGGGATGACTGAGGCAACGCCATTTCCCCAGCACAGACTTACCTTGCACCGAACGATTCGAGTGAAAAGCTGCAGCACGCGGCTGCGCACAAAGCTACTGATGTCACAGATGTGGGCCTGCAGCATATTCAGGAACTGGTCCCGAGTACCACGGGCAGCTTCCTCCAGCTGGTCACCATTCAGCACCTGCACCAGCACTTCCGCCATAGCTGCCAGAATGGCATTTCGCATCATATAACTCTGCAAAAAGAAGAGCTGTTAAACAAGGAACAGACAAAAAGACATGACTTGATATGCCAAAGGGAAGGACGGCCCAGAGTTTGGGTCATCCAAGTCCCAGGCTCCAGCCTTAAGTGAATTTCTCCATTATGGACTTTGTATTAACCTTGGGTGAACATGGCCGTGCCTGCAAGAGAGTAATCCAACCCTGCTGTCCAGCTAGGTCCACAAAAGCCAAGAATTGATATGAGAAACACTTACGGCTTTTAAAGGCAGTTTAAGAAAAGGTAACACAATGACAAACTCATTAAGTACCGAAGAACAACGGACAACAGCTGGGATCTCAGACCAGTAAGCAGTCTCCCGTTCTCTGGTATCTGGGAGTGACAACCAGACAGTAGATGTCATGGCTTCTCTTTCCTTTGCATCTTTTAGGTAAGGGCAAAACCTATTCCAAAGGGCAGGTTTTGGCTACTTGATCTCTGTGAAAGAGGTTCTGTTTTCAGACAGAAAAACCGGATAGCAGCACCTCCACCACTTGACTTCTCCAGACAGGTAATAATTGTGGAAACGTACCTCCCCATCCAAGTGACGCAGGAGAACGCTTATGTTGGATAGCACCAGAGCTGGAATCTGTTCAGCCAGTTCAGTTATAAAGATAGCATAACCCTTGATTCCAGAAGCATCATGGGCCAGATCCTGCGGACATTTCTGTCCAATTTCTCTGCACAGAAAGATGAAACAAGGAATAGGGTGCCTCAAGTTGCTAGGGATAGAGGGACAAGCCTCGTTGTATTTTTCTCACCTTAGCAATTCACCCACCAGGCTTTTCAGACCATACTCTGTAGCCCAGAGGCTCACAGCCTGTGCAAACACTGGAGCTACATGTTCAAAGTGCTGCAGCATCTGTGTGATCTTCAGAGTGGCACCTTTCGCACGTGAGGAGGAAGAAAGAGATCAGGGAAAGTAACTGGGAATGGCTTCAGGAAGAAGGCAGAAGAGCAGGAACTCACTGAACATGTGATCATACTGAATCAGAGCTGCAGCAAGCAGATGTGTCACAGCCTCCCGTGTGGCACGGTACTTCTGAAGACCAATACTTGGATTCTCCAGGATACGGTAGCAGCTTCCTGTCATTAAGCTAAAGCCACAGAAGAGAGACAGTGAACCTCACTAATCACAATTTGCACCGACATCATTCTAGCACACTGCATGAGGCAAACAGTTCTCTCAAACCAGAGAGATTCTCCAGTATCCTTAAAAAAATGAGCAAACAACATCTGAAGTTTAGAGGCCCTCATGAGGAAGGGAAGAGGTTCCTAAACACATCGCTTTTGCCTCAAGACAGTGTCCTGGTTTTGGCTGGGATGGAGTTAATTTTCTTCCTAGTAGCTGGTACAGTGCTGTGTTTTGGGTTTAGCATGAGAATAATGTGATAACACACCGATGTTTTAGTTGTTGCTAAGCAGTGTTTATACTAAGTCAAGGACTTCTCAGCTTCCCACGCTCTGCCAGCAAGGAGGTGCACAAGAAGCTGGGAAGGAGTATAGCCAGGACAGCTGACCCAAACTGGCTAAAGGGATATTCCATACCATATGACGTCATGCTCAGTATATAAACTGGGGGGAGTTGGCAGGGGGGCGGTGACCGCTGCTCAGGGACTGGCTGGGAATCAGTCAGCAGGTGGTGAGCAATTGCATCAATTTTTTTCCCCCTCTCCCTATTGTTTTTTTTTTCTCTCTCGTTCTTTTACTTTGCATTACAATTTATTATTATTATATTATTTTCTTCCGATTCTCTCCCCCATCCCACCGGGGCGGGGAGGGTGAGCGAGCAGCTGTGTGGTGCTCAGTTGCCGACTGGGGTTAAACCACGACAGATGGTTTCCTGTTTCCCAGCAATCTGCACCCTGCTGAGGGCTGTAATACCACTGCACTGGCAGATTTAACATTCAGCCCTCCCTTCCAGAAAACCACTGTCACCCATCCCATCTCTACATCCACTCCATCCCATACCTGACAAACTCTTCTTCCACCACCAAACCACCCCAAAGCTGATGGAGATCCAGCTGCAGCAGCTGCGTGAGCAGCCGTAAGAGCGGCTCCCTCTCCTCTTCCCACAAGGATCCAGAGATCTTGGTACGGTTCTTCTTGTTCTAGAAAGGAGGTTACGCAATGCAATACATCAGCAGCTTGACAACAGAAAAAACACCATCGCCTGTTTCCCTCAAAAAAGAAAATGACTGTTAAATTCTACAGCATTGAGACATACAGCGAGATCTATGAGAAGCTTATATGCCCACATCAGATGACTGCTGCTGTCATCTTTGACCACAGAAGGGAACTCTTGAGAAATTACTGGCACGCTAAGTACCAGCCAGACACTGAAGAGCGAAACAGAAGCCTGGGCATCTGAGTCCCTGCTGATGTTTAGACACATATTGTCCCTTTGGCTGCTTTCCATGTGCAGTTTCACAGAAATCCCAGTACTCCACATGATGCACTGCTCTTGCCGGCACCATGTTTAAATAAATCCAGCTATAACATCTGACAGATACCACAGAGTTCAGCAAGCTTACACATTTTCTACTTTTATCATCTTGCTTTCCTCCCAGTCCCCTAACCTACCTTCCCACCAGGATCCACCTCCAACAAACCACTCTTGCTGGTTTCCATTTCAAAGGCATCCACCAGGCCAGTCAGCAAATAGCAGTTCATCTTGAGAGTGTTGAGGTGAGCAGCACGGTCTGCATGGCTCAGCCCAGAATCACCCAGGATGACAGGCAGTTCACTGGAATGATGGGACACCACTGAAGAGAGGCAGAAAGTCATGAGCACTCCTTGCCAGGCCACTCAGCCATCCTCTCTTTTGGAGACTTAGAGCAGTCATCAGATTACCAAAGACGTGTGCTCACATCTCACCAGCTGTAACATGGGCTACCCCCTGCAACCCAAACCTTGGATGCGCTGTCCTATCCTATCCCCACAGCCCCCCGTCAGCTCACAGAATAACTCACTCAGAGCTGATGCATCCCAAAGATGTATTTTCCAGGGACACGGGGAAGGGGATTTTCTGTCGGCCTGCCCTTACAGCGAACACGCACAGCTCTGCATTGTCCACCAAGATTACAGACCCGTATTACTGGAATGGGCTGAAGGGGTAACCCAGCTGGTAAAGTCACATTAGCCTTTATATCATCACTGAGCTGCCAAAGGAGAGCAACCTCTCTGTTACTCCTGCTTCAGCTGGAAGTAGCCGATACCCACCGTGCATCATCAGCTCCAGGGCATCCTCCTTGACAGCAGTCCCCACAGCTCGGAAGTGGCTGCAGGGCAAGCACAGTGCATGAGAGCAGCGAGTAAACACCACCAGGGAGAGGCGCGAGCACCCGGATGCACCAGCCTCTCCAAAACCCTCCTCCACCCGCTCCTAAACACCACCAGGGAGAGGCGCGAGCACCCGGATGCACCAGCCTCTCCGCAACCCTCCTCCACCCGCTCCGCTCCCAGTGTCCCCGGGAGCCCCGGCCCCGCGCTCGTTGCTCTGTACTCACTGGAGCAAGCTGTAGAGGGGGTCGAAGTGCTGCAGCACTGCCAGCGCGCCCCGCGCCCGGAAGGCGGTCCGGAAGGCTGCGGGGAAACACGGAGAGGGGCAGGGGGGACGACACAGGCGGTTACGGCCGCGAGCCGGGCGGGGGGGCGGGGGAGGGCCGGCGGGGCGGGGG